TATTTCAATTGTACTGCATTTTGTGCAAAGTGACTGTGGTTTTAATCTGTTATACAATGGTGCTCCAGACACACCAGACTGATTATTTTGATTTGATCTGTTTTGGAATTTGCTATTGTTTTGCATATTGTCGCCTTTGGTGAATTTTGCATGTGTGGATGATGAAATAGAGTCAGTCTCACTAAAAACAGCACGGGGGCAGGTTGTTCATTCTTTCTCTTAATTTAAACTATAATATACAACGCTAAGGTCTCTAAAGAGAACTTTTAACATATATTGCTTTCAAGCTGCATAAAGGCTCCCTATTGTTTGTTCTATCTTGAATTCAGAAAGATAATGCTATTTGTATATTTAAAAAAGCCACAGCTGTGATTATATCAAGTTTCACCAGCTGAAAAAACAATAAAGAAATTAGCATGACCATTATTGAAATGTGCATTGAAGTTACCCCATTTTTTAATTTTTTTTTTATTGTTTGAAAATAATGCAGAAAGGTTGCCAACCCTTTAGATTGTGGAATATTAAATAAGCCAGAAAAAGCCTTTTTCTGTTTCCAATTTAATGTGAGACAGTCAGAATGGCGTTTGTCAGTTATTGTGTTCAGGAACATCTGTCCTAGCCGTTCCCCAGTTTCCAGAGTCTGACATGTCTAGGCTTACTTATTGTTCAGGCGGACAAGAATCAGCATTTTAATTTGCTGGAAGTATTGTTTCAAACACAGTATTGTACTTCTAATTTAATAATTGTAGTTCAAAGGCGCATCTGTAGAGATCAATCATTCGCAAATATATTTTCTGATAGCATTTGATATTCTAACACATGAAAAACCACTTTGTGTGTGAAAATAAACTAAACTGACGTACCGTATTTACTCAAGTACCACACGCACCTTTTTTCTCAAATTTCAGAAGAAAAAAAGGGTGCGCGTCATAAGCAGGTACACAATTTTCAAGAAGTTTTAGGAACTTGTATGTTAATTATACTTGATTATAATTGAGAAACTTGTGAAAAATTTGCCAAGAAAACTTTTTTTCAGCTGAAAAATTTGAAAATTTATCAGATTCATGTTCAATTCACATCTAAAGTCAAATTTTTTGTTTTTATTTTCAAAATTTTGTGGTTTTAGAGTCACTAAAAAGGGGGTGTGCGTCTTCCTCAGGGATACAATTTTAGCCAAATTTTGGACTGAAAAACCCCTGTGCACACCTTACTTGAGGGCGTGGGGTACTTGAGTAAATACAGTGGCCCCCGCCTAACAGACCTCCCGTGTAAGGGATTTTCGCCAAACAGACCAGCTCTGCAAGCAGTTTTTCCTCCCGCCCAACAGACAAAATCCGCCAAACAGACTTCTTTTGGTTTAAAATTAGTGTTGAAAATTGAAATTCTTAATTTTTTATGTAATTGAATTCGTGTAAAGGACTTTT